TTCTAACTTAATGTATTATAAAATATTAATCTACAAATAAACAATTACTATAATAATTTTTATCATAAAACTTGGAGCTAAATACAATATAAAGAGTGTTTCCCCAGCTAGAGAGAGATGGCTCAGTGGTTTAAAGCCACTTGTTCTTACAGAGGACCCATGTTCAGTTGTTATCACCCATACAGTAGCTCATAACATTCCATAAATCCAGTTTCAAAAGAGCCAATGCCTTCTTCTTCCATGGGCTCCAGGTAATTATGTGGTTCATATACACACACACACATACACAGGCAAAACACTAAAATAAATTAACTCTAAAATAAATTTTCTTAAACAGTTGATTCCCTGTTAGTACCAGTTCAATCTGATGAAGCCTAAATTTAGGAAATGAATATATCATATCTCACCCAATCACCCACCTTGGGCAAAGCTACAAAAGTAGCTAGTAAGGCCACTTAGCAAATCATTGGAAAGAAACATACAAATTAGAAAGGTTTGGTACAGAACAGGAAGATGGAAACAGAGTCAAAATTTAGTACCTTTAAGTTTGGTATGGTTGTGAAGAAGTGGATCAGCAGAAACCATGCAAGGCCACCAAGGGTAACCCGACACTTTGGACCATACCAAGTCACCAACGTTGTATTTCAACAAGAGGTCTCTGTCTCGGCCAGGATTTGGACAGGACTCCTTTTTAACTGGAATCTGAAAGTGAACACCAAAAGACAAACATTAATATTCAATAATTACCCTTAAATTCAGCCTTTTATCTATAAAAGAACAAGTATTAATCAGAAGTTAATTAAAGGTCCAAAACACATAGTGTGGAAGACTGGGGATGTGACTTGTAGGAAGAGCACGGGTCTTCAATGCTCTTAAGGCCCGATCTTCAGAGAATGCTTCCCTTAACATATTTCACATATTCATCTCCAATATCAATCACTTCTCACAGCTGCTTTTCTCACCTACAGCATTATCATATGGCCTGAGATACAGTGTGTTCTCAATACTACAATAAAGCTGGTGCTTTATTCACAAAACCTTCAAACATATTGCTCCCTGCCCTGGCCACATACATATCTGATAGTTAGTCTTTGAGAATACATGCCCCAATCAACATATCAACAGTCTGTGCTGAAGCAGGGATCCTAGCCACACCACTAGTGCAGAGATAAGCATTTTGCACGCATGTGTGAGCATGCTTTCTGAGTACTCAAAGCTCTATGAAGTTCAGTTTCTCCATCTCTGGAACATGGGCAAATTGAACACCCTCTCTCAGGGCAATTCTTCCTCAAGCCACTGTAAGTCCTGCTCCTGTTGCGTAATTACCCACAAATCTCATTGGCTGTTACAGATTTGTAAGTATGGCAGTGAAGGCTACCGGAGATTCATATTATACTTTCAGGAGATGTTAACTCAAATAATTGCACAGCATCTCAGTATTACCTCGCTGTATAGTAGAGGGGACTCAAGTGGCAGGACTAGGAAGAAAAGGCTAGTCTGTGACAATACGCATAGGCCCCTTCAAAGAAATGTGAAAGTCTTTTAAGGTTCACTACACTATAGGCATGTCTAAAAACCTCTACATCAGCCCAGGTTATTATATTGGTCTTCAAAAGATTTACCTATGGGATGAGCATGGTGGTGCATACCTTTAATCCCAAATCCCAGCACTTAGGAAGCAGAGACACGCAGATATCTGTGAGTTCCAGGTCAGGACTACATAGAGAAACCATGCCCTGCCCTGCCCCACCCCACACCCAAAAAAAGGGAAAAACAAAGATTTGCCTTTGGAATTACGTTAGCAAGAATGGAACAGCTCCTCAAAAACATTGCTTTTAAAACCTCAAAGCACTCTGTGGTTTTAAGGATTTCAAGGAAACTTCAACTGTTCTCTATCTGTGGTAATTCTAAACAAAATTTCACAACTACAATTTTTAACTAAATATTCCAACTTTCATGATGCCCACAATTCTTATGAGTTTCAACTTTCCTGTCCCGAGTTTTCTCAGTGGGTGTACCACTGGCTGCAACGGAAGGTTAACAAACACCTGGTACCCTTCAGGCCACCAGACTGAATGAGCAGGGATCTGCTTCATTTCTTTCTATCAAGGCCAAGGTCACTTAGCTGTTTACATGATTTATACTCACTCAACTGTCAGGACCACTCTGCAGGTCACTTTTATGACACTAGTGACAGAAACCATCTAACAGAGTAAGAACCCCATGTTCTTCGACCTGAAGTCAGAGCTTTTCCTCCTCAGTCTTTGCTGGATGAAATCAGCACATGCCTGCTTATAAACAAAATGCTGAGCTCTGCACTAAAAATCAGAAGGTGTGCGACACTTCAGTTGTCAAGGAGGCAGCCAGCTGCTGAAGTACTACTTCAGAAAAACCACTGAGCAGACAGTGGCAGATGCACAGAAGATTACAGCAGCACCTCTGCAGAGCACAGCTCTGCTCCATCATTCACTAGATGGCACAGACTTAAGTTTAATGTATCTCCCCTGACCAGTCAGCCTAAAAATACCTGAGAGATGGACCCATAAAAACAACAGACCTTACAAGGTCATGAAAACTGACAGACTTCAATTCAAAAATTGTTGTTCTTACTTTGCTTTTTTTTCTTTCTTTCTTTTTTTTCAGACAGGGTTTTAATAGGCTGACCTTGAACTCAGAAATCCACCTACCTCTCTGTTTTTAAGTGCTGGAATTAAAGATGTGGACAACCACGTCTGGGTTTTTATCCTACTGCACTAGGATCTCAAGTGCACAACTTGTGCCAGTGGTACCTAAAGAAGGCAATGTCCAGACATCTGGAAGCCCGACAACCAACCAGGAGCCAAGCCTCCATCAGCATCACCTGCACAGGGCCAAGGCAAGACGGCAGCAAATGGCAGCAAATGGCAGCAAATGGTGGTTTCCCATCCCTCTACCTGACATCATACATGTTAAGGTATTCCACATGGGTCTCATGCTCACCATTCATTGTCACATAACCCAACAGAATCCTTCACAAATACCTTTTTTTCTGCAGGACTTGCGATCTTGGACACTAAAGCTGCTTCCACAAGGCCCTGCTCCAGTAAAGAGTCATATTTTATGCTCCTCTTCCTGTTCCTCCTAGTCTTATTATCCAATTTTTGTCCATTTTCTTCTGACTGAGACACATCAGCAGCACTGTCACCACAAATTGAAGATTCAAAAAGCGGTTTCCCATTCATGTATGTTTTGGTGATTTTCAGTTTAATTTCTGGAGAGCCATTTTTGATAGGGGTTGTATTGGGTGGTGTCCCAATTCCTTTCACTTCCTGGGACTCAAAACACAATTTTGCATCATGAGCACCAGGTTCTCCGTTAAACACACGGGAAGTAAGATCTTTCAACTTCTCTGCTGGAAGAAAGGGGAGTGCATCATGGCCATTAAATTTCTGCATGACCCCTTCCTGTAGGCTGTTAGAAAGTTGAGCTTTGCTGATGAATACAGAACATTCGTGATTCACTTCACAGTTCTGAGTCTTTCCATTTGCACTGCCAAGGATTTCTGGTGCCTGCTTCATCTTCATGCACTTTACAACTTTTTGAACAGAAAGAGGACTTTTTCTGATGCTAAATTCCATCCAGCCTAGATGCTTTGGTTCTTAGAACACTACAACATTTAAAAAAAAAAAAAAAGTAAAAAAAAAAAAAAAGCAACATATTACATTTTAAGCCTAGGATAAGTATGCCAACATCTCTATATCTTTGTCGTAGTTGGGTTTTATTCTGATTTGTCTTATGAGGCAATTTATGATGGTTTATATAATTTGGGCTGTAGAAGGCAATTTTAATATCACAAAATGCAAATGAAAAGACATGAAATCGTATGATATGTAAAATCATATGGGAGAATAAAATCCAGGTATACCACTACCACCAACAACCAGTACAGCAGGATGCCTAACTTAAGAATTTAACTTGTGGGCTAAAGCACTGGCTCATCAGTGAAGAGCATTTACTACTCTTGCAGAGGACCCAGTTTCAGTTTTCAGAAACTACATGGTGGCTCACAACCACCTGCAACTCCAAGAATTTCACACTCCCTTCTAGCCTCCACAGGCACCAGGCACACTTGTGGTGCACAGATACAGAGGCAAGATACTCATACACATTTTTTAAATTAAAATAATTAAAAATGGCAACAAAGAAGCAGATATCACTAAAAAGACTTTATGTTGCCACACTAGAATAGGTTAGGAAGATCACCTGTTTGAGGCCTTTATGAGCTACTGAGTAAATTCAAAACCTGCCTAGCTAACTTAATAAAACTCTGTCTCAAAAAGTATAGAGAGCTAGGGATGTGCTCAAGTAGTAGGGTGATTGCCCATTATGCACCAAGCCTTGGGTTCAATCCCAATTATTGAGAAAGGTGAAAAGGATGAAGGAAAGAGTAGAAAATTTATAGCTGGCGGGTGTGGTGGTGTGCACCATTAATCCCAGCACTAGGGGGAGCAGAGGCAGGTGGATCTCTGTGAGTTTGGGGCCAGCCTCGTCTACAGAGTGAGTTCCAAGGCATCTAGGACTACACAGAGAAATCCTGTCTCAAAAACACCACCAACAACACTGCGCACCAGTGTCTTGCCTGCGGATATGTCTGTGCGCCACAGAGTGCTTAGTGTCTAGTGCCCACAAGGGTCTGAAGAGGTCCCTGGGTCCCACGGAACTGCAATTAAAAGATTGTTGTGAGGCACCATGTGGGTGCTGGAAATGAAACCTAAGTCCTCTGCATGAGGAGCAAGTGTTCTTAACCACTGAGCAATCTCTCCAACCCCTTAACAGACTGTCTTAATGGAAGCTAGATGTGGTGGGCACAGCTTTAATCCTAGCACTCAGCAGGCAGAGGCACGAGGATCTTTCTGAATGCAAGGCCAGCCTGGTCAAGAGATTCCTATCCTTTATTTATTTTTATTCATGTGTATGTCTACATGTGTGCAACTCATAGATACCCAAAATGGTTGCTTGAACTCAAGCTCAGTCTTCTAGAAAAATCAACGCTAACCCTTAACCACTGAGCAATTTTCCAGCCCCATGGTCTACAGAGTTTCAAGGTCAGCCTCAACTACAAAGAGAGACCCTCTCTCAAAAACAAACTTTTCAAAAGCACATTTGAGAAAATGGAAGAGTCAAAAAACTTGAAACTAGGGCTGGAGAGATGGCTCAGAGGTTAAGAGCACTGGCTGCGCTTCCAGAGGTCCTGAGTTCAACTCCCAGCATCCACATGGTGGCTCACAACCATCTATAATGAGATCTGATGTTCTCTTCTAGGTACACATGCAAGCAGAACACTGTAAACATAATAAATAAATCTTCTTAAAAAAAAAAAAACAAACTTGAAACTAGATGAAAAATATCTATACTTTAAAACCGGAAAAAAATTAGAAGGCAGAATACCATTTCACCATGCTGTGGAACAAAATTAAGTCTGCACTCCCACACTGAAAATAAAGAGAATGAGTCAGAAAAATACTTGAGAATGGTCCCAATTTAGTGAGACAAACTAATAGTTATAGCTTAGCAAATCCCAAGCATGATGAAAATACAAGAAACTCATACCAAAGCACATAATTCAAACTGGTGAAAAACAGAAAAAAAAAATCAAATAAATATATATATAAACAAATAAATGTCACTCAACAGAGTCAATTAAGTCCAGGCTACGTTGTAAGCTCAAGGCCATCCTGAGTTACAGGGAGTATATTTCAAAAATTAAGAGCTTAGGCTGGAGAGACAGTTCAGTAGTTATGGATATTTACTGGGACCTGGAGAGATGGCTCAGCTATTAAAGAGCACTGGCTTTTCTTCTAGAGGACCCAGGTTCAATTCCCAGCACCCACACACTGGTTCACAACCACCCAGAACTCTTGTCCCTAGGGATACAACACCCTCTCTTCTGACATCTGTGGACACCAAACACACATGTAGTCCATAAACATAGACACAGACAAAACATGCATACACATAAAACAATCTTTTTCAAAAGAGTGTGTACTGCTCTTCCAGAGGACCCAAACTCAGTTCCTAACACACCCACTGGCAGCTCACAATTTGTAATTCCAGCTCCGGAGAGATCTGATGTGGGAAGATCTTATGTTGCCAGCCTCCAGGGGAGCCTGCATTCACATGCATATACCCATAAAGAGAAATATACACATAGTAAAAATAAATCTTTAAAAAACAAAAATAGATAAATCATGGACTGGAGTATTTATCTCACTAGTGGAGTGTCTGTCTAGTCTGTCTAGCACATACAATGCTCTAGATTCAATCTACAGCAACAAAACTTTAAAATATCCATTTAAATACAGAACAGTAATACAGATAGTTGACTTAACCGAAAACCAAGGCCAGGGACTAGAGAGATAGCTCAGAGGTTAAGCACAATGACTATTCTTCCAGAGGACCTAGAATTCAATTCCCAGAACCCACATGGAGGCTCACAATCTTCTGTTACTACAATCTCAGGGGATCCGATATCCTCTACTGGGCTTCTTGGGTAACATACATGCACAGGTTACATAGACATATACTCAGACAAAACACCTATATACATCTGTTTTGAGACATGGTTTCTTTGTATTCCTGGCTATCCAGGAATTCACTCTGTAGACCAGGCTGGCCTTGAACTCATAGAGATCCACCTGCCTCCTAAGTGCTGGGGTTAAGGATAGTACCACCACCTCCTCCCAAAAGAGAGAGAGAGAGAGAGAGAGAGAGAGAGAGAACCTGGCAGTGGTGGCACACATCTTTAATCCCAGCACTCAAGAGCCAGAGGCAGGTGGACCTTGGTGAGTCTGAGGCCAGCCTGGTCTACAGAGTAACTTCCAGGACAGCCAAGGCTATATAGTGAAATCCTGCCTCAAAAAGAAAAAAGAAAAAAGAAAAAAGAAAAAAGAAAAAAGAAAAAAGGAAAAAGGAAAAAGGAAAAAGGAAAGGAAGGCCAACCAGAGCCAATGTACAGTTATTGAAAGGCTGTCAATTTCACATATTGAAAAAATAGCCTTCAAGAAAAATGGTCAAATACCTTGAGAAATATAAACTAAAAGTTGTTAGCACCAGGCATGGAAGAAATGCTTTAAAGGAAGCGGTGGTGGGCTAGAGAAATAGCTCAGCCAGTAAAAGCATTTCACAAAGTAGTCCTCTGATAATAGTACAGAAACAGGTACAATCAATTCTTTATTTTAAGTTCAAGTTGAGAATCAGGCATAATGGTACAGGCCTTTAATCCTGATCCTGACACTTTGGAGGCAGAAGCAGGCAGATTTATATAACTGCTATGACAGCCTTGTCTACACAGTAAGCTCCAGCCAGGGCTACATAGTGAGATTCTGACAAATAACTTATTAAAATTAAAAACATAAATATGCTTATTCCCACAGAAAAAAAAATTTTTTTTTTTTTCCTGAGACAGGATCTTCCTATACAGCCCTGGCCTTCAATTAACTATGTAGGCCAAGCTGACTATGAACTCACAGAAATCTCACCTGGATTTTAAAAATCTGGTTGTTTCTTGGTTTTTTTACATTGAAGTCAGGACCTCATACATATTAGGTAAATAAAGGTAAATAATGTTCTACAACTGAGCTGCACCCACAAGTCCCTATGTACACTTTTCAATAGTCAAAATGCTAAATTCTATCATATATGTTACCCCATATATAACATCCCATCAGAAATAAACAAAGATTGCTTTCAAGAAGCTTATATCTTAAAGAGAATTCTAGAAAGCCAGGGAAGAATAGTAGAAAGGCAATTTTCAAAGGGATGGCCAATAAAGGACACCTTAATTCAGATTATGAGCTTCTTATGCTCAGAGAAAGATAAATAAAACAGGCCTCCAGATCAACATTTGAAACTTCAGAACATGAAAATTAAGAACATCTTTATTACTAAGAACCCAAAAGAGTACCTTAGGATGGAATTACTAACTTAGGATGGCTCCGTGAATTAACTCTTACCTAGCATTTCCAAGATCCTATGTTCTACAGATCTCTAAGATCAATTTTAAAAGAAGAAAAAAAGAATTGCCAGAGACTGAGACTCAGCAGATAAAAGTGATTAACAGTCAACAACAAGCCTGCCTACCTGAGTTCAATCCCTGGAACACACATAAAGGTGGAAGGGAAACTCTACAAAAATTGTCCTGTGACCAACATGTGAAGGAAAGTAACTTCTTTACTAGAACTTTATGCCCAGATAAATTATCATGCAAACATGAAGCTGAATGTATCAAATGTGCAGATGAAGTGAGCCTTACACATAGCCCCTTCATAAACCCAGAAGTAAAGATCAATCTGCAAAGGTGAAAAGAGTTTGCCATTCTAAAATAATTTTCATATTTGAAGATTTACTTTTGTTTTTAATTATGTGTGGGTGGGTGGGCAAGTCTGTGCATATGTGAATGCAGGTGCCTGTGGAGTACAGAAAAGGGCATTGGATCCCTTGAAGCTATAGTTACAGAGAGTGTATAAGCCACCCAAATGGAAGATCCTCCAACAGGACCTCCAACTTTCTAATCTTCGATAGTACCTGGGTTCAGTTCCAAATACCCACCCACATGATGGCTCACAATCACAACAGCCTCTTCAGGCGTCAGTGGGCACCAGGCACACA